CATTACTGCAAATACACAAAAAATACCGCTACTATTTTTTATTCTACAGGGCCTCTGCTTTTAAGTTATTTTCTATCCAAAGATTCAGATTTTAATCTGTGTAGAAAATTGTAATTACCGGTAGGTAAATGGTAAAATAAAAAAAAAATTAAAAAAAACAGTTTTTGTTGCACTATTCATCATTAATACATAGATTTCATTCACAGTACTTTTTATGCCAATAGGCATCCTTAAAGTGACACTAAACTCAAGAGTGAAAGCTTAAAAATGCATTCAAGTACCATAACTATTAAAAAGCTTAGCTTATTTATGCTTAATTTCTCTGAATTCATGCTGACTCTGTCCTTCCTTCTGGAAGATGGCTACTTTTGTTCCCCGTGGTCCCTGTGTGTTGTAAAGTAGCTCTAACCTCACTCCCCTGATAGACTATAACTTCAATACAAATTAGTAAACTATAGGTGAGATTGTAGTTCAATAGTTAGGGACTTGTGTGCATTTTTAAGATTTAACTCCTGAATTGTCACTTTGAGCTTTAGCCTATGACTGGACAATGAAAGAAAGAAGACACAAGCTCATCTCTTTGGTCTCCTATAAGCATGCCTCTTCACAGCACATGGACCAATTAGTTCTTCGTGCTGCTTCTTTCTTTCTTTCACACTCCAGCCCTGCTATACAGAGACTCAACAGGCCAATACCAAGTCAAATTCAGGTACTTACATTGCTTGCATTAAAAAAGAATGTATAAATGAATAAGCTGCATTAATTTGTGTCTTTTATGTCTGCCTGAAGTTTAACTTTGAAGTGACACTAAACCCAGGAGTTACATTTTTAAAAATGCATTCCAGTACCTTAACCATAAACAAAATTGATCTTTTTTGTGTACCACTTGGCTATAGATCCTCAAAGCATGTCTGAATTGGTGCTGACACTGTCTTTCCTTCTAGAGGGTGGCTACATTTGTTCTCCATGGTCCCTGTGTGTGTTGTAAAGTAGTCAAAGCTCCAGGTTCACTCCCTTGATGGACCATAATCTTATGTTTAGTTTACTGATTTGTATGGAGATTGTAGTCCATCACAGGAATGAGCTTGGAGTGGTGGCTACTTTACAACACACACAGGGGCCATGGGGAACAAAACATAGCCCCAATTCAAAGATGATTTGAGGGTCTACAGCCGAGTAATATACAAATAAGTTAAATTTTTGTTAATAGTTAAGATATTTGAATGCATTTTTAAGATCTAACTCCTGAGTTTAGCATTACTGTAAGTGAAGAATGTAGTTTGCCAGTCATTTAGGGGTCATTCATATATTTGCCTATGGTGATACTAAAAAGAAAAAGTACCTTTCTGCACCATTGTTTTTGAAGCAAGAACATGCTTCTGGTGCTCCTCTGAATGAATGGTTATACATGATAATGTATATTAAAGCCCAACTCTGGGCATAAAGATTTTTCCAAGTTGATGTGTAAATAAATGTTAACACTTCTCAGCTATCTTATGTTGTCTGATTACCTCACAGTACAAGCCTGTTGCGAATATGAGTGCTGTGACTCTCACAGACTGCATCACTGATGTAGTTTCTCTGCCCCCTTTTACCTTTTGGCCAGTCACAAAAGATATGGCTGCAGGCTACATTTTGTGAATGGCGAAAAAAACAACCAGCACTGCGGTCTATGAGACACTGCAACTGTCCATACCACAGGAGCTGTACTATTCTGCAGAAAGAGAATTGATTTTAACATTCTGTAAACTGGACAATCTATTACAACTGAGAAGTAGCATTTGTATACACACAAAAACATTGTGTACAGAGTTGGGCTTTAATGATCATTGGCATGAACTTTTATAACTTTGTGAAGGAAACCACGTTTTCCATTTCACAAAAATACAAAGAAAACACATTTCAACTTGTGTAAAAAGCATGTGTTAATATGCAACATCCCTTAAACTGGGAAATATGGCAGACATCCAGCAAACTGATTTTACTCCTGCTAGAGACAAGTGCTTGAATCGATTAAGGATGATTAAAGTAATGCTAGATTGGTGGATTCTGCTGGGGTTAAACAGTTCTCCACTTTAAGGAAAAAGTACCGCCTCCCCTCCATAAACTTAATTGTTACCTTCAAATAAAACACTATTTGAATGTCTTGCGGTACACATTTCTAGAACACTCCCAAAAAACAGTTTGAGCGTCTATGTGATTCGGACCATTATTTACCTGGTGTTATCTCTCTCCTTTACTCCCAACTTCTGGAAGCTTCTCAACCTTCTCTAACTCCTTATGTTACTAAATGGGAATCCAAACTGGGTGGGGCTTGACTAGCGAGGACTTGGATCAGATTTGGACTGCCACTCCTAGGAGCTCCTCCACAGTGTCGGCCTTGGAAACCAACTACAAGTTACTTTTACTGTGTAACCGGGTCCCACATAGAATTTCTAGAGCACTCCTGTTTTACTCTACCAACTGTTTTAGAAGTTGGCAGATAGAGGGTACGTCCACATTTGGTGTTACTGCACAGTTGCTTCCCATTTTTGGTCTGTAAATTTTTTGTAAGATTTGTACTGTGATGCGTTCTCTACTTATATTGCACTTCTAAATAAAAAGCTGTTTGACTATTCCCCAACTCAATTTAAATTGCATCTGCACATCTTTACTGTTGCTAAACATGTGATTGTCCGCTCCAGGAAGACCCCCACACTCTGACAGTTTTTTTGATTACATGTCATTACATGTCTTACACCATGATATTTTATAACCTTACACCTCGACAGGAGGACAAATTGGACAAATACAATGCTATATGGACACCTTGGATATACTATTTCTTCCCCATAACTCTTGCAGGGGCTACCTTCAACTCTAACAATGGTTTTCTGTCCGTTACTAAGCGCTGCTTAGTCTGGTGTCACTCCCGCTCCCTCCACCCTCTTTTATTACCACTGTTGTTCTTTCCTGTGTTTACATTTTCTGTTTTTTTTTTCCGGTAGGATCTACCCTCTACTTTAGTTCTGGATGTTTGAACATTTGGTATTTAAGTCCTACTGCCCTGATGACTGAGCATACTTGCACTTACAGGTTTTCTGGTTTATGTCTGTCTATACGAAGTAACATTTTCTTACTACTCTTATTTTCCTATCTATGTTATCATCAATACATGCCTACATTGTTATTGCTGTATTATGTTATGTTGACTGTTTTGTTCAATATGCTACTTAAAATTGTTGAAGTCTCAATAAAAATTTACTTAAAATGCAAAATTAAGATTAAAGCATACTTTTAAAAACACCACTCCCTAAATCTCCTTCAACCCACTTACTGTAAATATTAGTATAGTACAAAGTATTCATGAACACCTCTCACAACACAGACATATTATTCCTTCACAGCTAGAAAATGTTTAGGTAATGTGGTCCTAACACATGTACTACTTATAAAGTAAAGAAAATTATAATGGCGAAGAATTACTTTTCTACAATTCTTCCATTCTATTCATGGGTGATTTTTGACATGAACTCAGTTATAAAGAATGATACAGAGTTGACATCAGATTACGTAACTACATATTGTATTTACTTGCTTTTGGGTAAGTAAATTGGGTCTAAAGGTTTACTTACCATAAGCTAGTCTTGCATGATGTTATTAATTTTTTTTTTAGTGTTATATATACCCTCAATGTACCTGTGGAAATGCCAATTACCTAACAGATCAGGTAGTTTTAGTAGTACACATTAGCGTGAATTAACACTAAACTCAGGAGTTAAATCTTAAAAATGCATTCATGCACCTTAACATTTAACAATAATGTTGCTTATCTGTGTATCACTGTGCTGTAGGGCCTCAAACTATCCCTGAATTGGTGCTGACACGGTCCTCCCTTCTGGAGGGAGGCTACTTTTGTTCTCCAAGGTCCCTGTGTGTGTGTTGTAAAGTAGCCACCACTCCGAGCCTGCTCCCGTGATAAACAATCTCAATACAAATGAATAAACTAAACGTGTGATTGTAGTCAGTCACGGGAGTGAGCTTGGAATTGTGGCTACTTTATAAACACACACAGGGACCATGGGAAACAAAAGTAGCAACCCTCCAGAAGGAAGGACTGTTAATTGTTCAAGGTATTTGCATGCATTTTTATGATTTACCTCCCGAGTGTACTGTCATTTTAAAACTGTGCTATGCAGCTATGCACGTGGCTCAGTAACTACTCAGATATCTTAAATGCGAGATGAAATTAGATCAGAACCAAATTACATAGCCGCATAATCTGTTAGATTTTATAGATTTGGCCATCCAAGCATGCATAAGATTGGACTACCTTAATCAGATTTGGTAATATCATCCCCAACTATTGTGTCATTCTAATTAACCATTTTAAAGACTAATGGGGGCATTAGCCTGTACCATAAAAGTCAATTGCCCTTGAAAATGTCTTACATATTTGACTAGTCACAAGTTAAAATATGCTTTGTAGCTCTGCTCTAAAGTCTAAGTTTGTTGACTAATCAAGTTTCACTTACCGTATTTTGCGTTCCATAAGACGCACTGGACCATAGGACGCAGGGAGGTCCGGTGTGCCTTATGGAGCACTCGACAGACCGTAGCTTCTGTGGCTGCAGTTAGTGACCGCTGAGACAGGTGGCGCTGTGATTACAGCGCCACGGTCTCAGTGATCACACAGAGCAGACATAGAACGTCCGTTCTTAGTCTGCTCTATGGTGATCTCGATCGCCGCCGCCTCGTTTTAATACGAGTGATCTCAATAGATCACTCGTATTAAACGAGCAGTGGCTCCTACTGTACATTTAGCTCTGCTTTAGCAGAGCTAAATGTACAAAAAAAGTACTCGCCCGGTGCCCGAAACTGCATAAGACGCAGGCACATTTTTCCCCTCCTTTTGGAGGGAAAAAAGTGCGTCTTATGGAGCGAAAAATACGGTATTTTCAATCTAAAATTTTGCCAAATATATTGTAAGAGAAATGGAAAAAAAATTAAAAAGTACGCACTTCTAGTTGGTGTTCCTTCTCATCGAGGACCTCCTTCTGACATTGCAGGAAGTCTGACAGCATTTTGTTCAGCTGTTTGCGGTCATCTATTTCTGCTGCTAGTCTGCCATTATAATCTGCAAGCAGCATGCAAGCATCATCCACCATCTTTGCTAGCTGATCTCCAGAAGCTTTATCTAAATAGTCCAAAAAGAAAACATTTGCATAAATGCATGAAGACAGTTTTTAAGTATACTTGGTACTGATATAATCCATTGCTTACCAGTAATCTTGTTCAGAAGTGACACATCTTGTACTTCTACTGGCAATGAGCCTATCCTCTGATGCACAGCTGCATCTCCAGAAGCTGCATTTTCCAGTTCCTGCAGTGCCCTTATAAGATCTGTGGTCTAGAAGAAAAAGCAAAGCCACATTTTCAGCTGATTAAATACGGCCAATATGTTTTAGACTCTAAAGCAATATTAAAACCAATATACTTACTATCGAATAGTTTATATAAGATAAAATCAACAGCAGTGTGACAAATAAGATTTACAATGCTGACACCAGCAATGCTATAAAGCCATGCTTCAATAACACATGGGCAAAACAGAAGAGAATAAATATTTGTAAATGCTTAGAGATAGCAAAATAAACAAAAATTATTGATAGATGTTACAAAGGCTAACAAAATTCTGGGTTACATGAAGAATAAAGCCTAAGCATTTTAACACTGTATATATTCCCTGTACCTAAATGCAGTGTAAAGTTTGTGGTTTCTATTTTACCACTTGCCGTCCGGCAGCTTGCAAATAAACGGCCGAAGGGCTGCTGCAGCAGGGTGGATGGGCATTTATAAATGTCCTTTCCTGCTCCCAAACTTGGGTGGGAAAGTTTGACAAATTGAAGTCTTTGAAATATACAAGCGTTTGGGTGGGTCTATAACAGGAATGGTGAGTGAAGGGTGCCGCCCGTCCCTCCACCGCCGGCTATCCTGGGCTGCGCTTTCCTCTGTGTGGGCCTGGGACCAGACTGACGGGTCTCTGTGGCTGGATCAGAGAAGAAATTATCACATTCCACCAGCTAATCTCCCATCCGATCACTGAATGTGGAAGTGATGTGAATTAAATAATTCAGCTTTCAGACTGTCATTTTTTTCTGCTTCTTTAGCTTCTCTGGTGTCCCTAGATAACATTAGGGGTCTAATACACCTCTGATATATCCATAAAGAAGACCTATCACTGTGTCTGTGCTATATCATAGTGGGCTTATTAGTCCATTATGTTATAGCAATAAAGTTTTGCTTAAAAAAAAAAAAGGAAAGAAAGTATAAAATTAAAGACACATAAAAAAACAAAAACAGTCTACTGTAACCACATACATGCACAAACTCAAACACACGTCAGGTGCACGTACATGCAAAAACGACAATTGCACCACATTTGTTAAAGATCACTGTGTACGTTGGAGTGCAAGTAATTTTAGGGCACTCAATCACTGTTAACATTAAATTGATGAGCGGTAAAAGCTTTTAAAGCATCGCCTCTGGCCAATTTAGGGTATGGTAGTTTTTTGCAGGCGCACAATTTTAAGGTTTGACATGTTTGGTGTCTATTTACCTGACGTACAGTAGAAAGGCATCATGGCACACTCACAAACCAGCATGTAAAACAACTTGTCTCACCACTAAGGACAATGACAGAGGTTTGGATACACGTCTTCTGCAAAGGATGTGTAAGCCGCACTAGGTGGGGCGTCCTCCTGACAGGCCTGCACCCAATTTGATATCTTCTGCCCCCATGTGCTCCAAGATGGAGACTCTCATAGTTTAGAGTTAGGACCGCACTATAAGAGGTGCCTTGGCGCGGCAGTGCGGCTTACACATCCTTTGCAGAAGACGTGTATCCAAACCTCTGTCATTGTCCTTAGTGGTGAGACAAGTTGTTTTACATGCTGGTTTGTGAGTGTGCCATGATGCCTTTCTACTGTACCACTGTTCAAAGCCCATTTCGTGTGCACCTTACTGTATAACTGGTAACAAGTCATATTTACCTGACGTGACCCCATTACCAAAAAATTGGCTAATAATACATGTTTCATAGCATAACTCAGGGAAAACAGTGTGCTTTTAAACTGTCAGGTCAGCAGTCTTTCCCATGATTGTTATCCCTACTGAACCAGACTGAGAGACCATTTAAAGGCTCAGGAACCCTTTGCAAGTGTTATGGCTTAATTAGCTGATTAGAGTGGGACACTTTGAGCCAAGAATATTGTACCATTTCACAATATTCTAATTTTCTGAGATTGTGGATTTGGGGTTTTCATGAGCTGTAAGCCATTAGTGAAATAAATGAACTTTTGCACGATATTCTAATTATTCGAGTTTCACCAGATTGGCCAGATTATTATGACCACCACATCAGTACTTCGTTGGGCCACGAGATGACTTCTTTGGGCCGCCTCGTGACTCCACGAGATGTTGAAAGGTGATGCGAGGAATCTGACACTGCACTGTTGCCCTTCTGTTGTCTTGTACCAGTCTTGCCACTCTCCGTTCTGCCCTAACATTGACTAGTCTCTGATGGCCACAATTCGCACGTTCAGACCCAGATTTTCTGCTGACAGTCCAGTCTTTAAACACTTTAACAACAGCTGCTCTTGAACATTTAACGAATTCTGCTGTTTTGATGATACTCGCTCCATGGCTTGAGCGCCAACAATCATCCCACGTTTGAAAGGCTGTTAAATCGCGTTGTTTACCCATCTCTTCAGAAAAAAAATCACTTCTACTGTCGTGGTAAACAACCTGCTTCCCTATTTATAAGGGTCTGGCCCTCTAGCAACTGGCTAGAGGTATAATGGTCTGGCCACTCAGTGTATATATATTAGCATGTGTTCCCATTTATTAAACAAGCTCTCACGACCTTTACCATAGGCCCCCGTTCAACTTGCCACAGCACCTGCCTCTGAGCTCACTCCCGCTGTACCAATGCACACTTCTGTTCTGTCACTGCAGTGACATGCTCTTTCATGTTCAAGTTGTTTGATGAATACACACATATTGCATACATGAGAAGTAATATTCAAAGAAATCCCACAAATGTTACTAACCAAGGGCTATAATTGATAAAAGCAATTGCTATTACAGTTTGAACTATAACGGTTATAAAAATATAATACAAATAGAATGGTGACAACAAAGGCTATGCAAAAAGGCAAAAACAATAAAATAAAGGAGATCTATTGGAGAGTAAAATATATTTTTCCCAATACAGGCAGTGTGGGTCGGCTGAACTGAGTGATCTTGCAACTGCTGATCGCTCAGCTCACAGTCTCCTACCAGCAGAGACTCCACCCTCCCCTCTCTGTTCTTCCAGTGCTCACTGGAGAGACAGACAGGGGAGGGGCACAGCTGGCTCTGCCTCTAGATATTGTCCAGATACCCCACAATGTGGAGAGCAAGAACCAGGACTAATATCTCGGTAAAGACCTCGAGAGCCATGGAGATGCCAAAGGGAAGAGCTACGAACGGGAAGTTCTATTCTTCCACCGCAAAGTGCACGAACAGCTGATGAGGACATGCAAGTACACATCCTTGATTGATTGAGAACCTTGAGATCCAAGATGGGGGCAAACATTCGCATTGGGTTTTGCAATTGCATACAGGTTGAAGTATCCCTGAAAGCATTCTTCCGAATGAACCGGAACAATCACTTCTGAAGAGTGACTCCTGTAATAGCTTCAAGGCAATGTGAATATCCCTTAATCTCCACGAAGTAGAGGGAAGATTTGAAGGCATTAAACGAGGAGAAAATGTCCCGAGGCCAGGTGGTCAAGAAGGCCAACAGAGCACCCCCCCACTTGATGACATCAGGGAGCCCCCTCATTACAAGATGGACTTGGTGCCCGATTGCTTAAACATCTAGAACTTGTGATGTAACTGTGCATTGAGCTCATTTTGGAAGAGGAAGCCTGATTGGGAGGAATGGAACTTTTTCAAAACCCTTGAGAGAATGACTTTGTTGCAGGGATCTTTGCTTTTTTCTTACGTAAGAATCTGCTTTGCCCCCCAGGGACTTCCTTAACAAAGAGGTCCAAAAGACTGACCAAAAGAGTCTTTCCCCCGTCAAATAGAATCTCTGCAGACCAGAATTTTTTCTTCTGAGAACCTATACTGGTGACGTTAGGGCCAGTAAATGGAGACTTTTTTTTTTTGTTTAATATAGTTTTTATTATTTTTCCACATAAACTCATTTATACAAGTATATATTTAAAAAAAGCAGAAATGCATGTATATTACAATATAATTTACTCTTGTAATTAACTTAAACTATACATCTCTCCATATAAATATCAATGCCATTACTTTTACAACCATACATACCTATTCATTCAATATGCATTACCCAACCTCCTAACATCCCTATCTTCTCTACTTCTCGCATTTATTCACCTATCATTTCTACTTCGGGGGGGATAAATTATAGGAAGAATTTATTTAAAAAAAACCTTCAGTGTTAGTTTCTTCAAACCATGTTTTAAAACCCTCATGCCCTCTTAACCCTTGCTTTATAAATATACCTCAACCACTACTAACTTTTGGACGATTTCTTAAGGGACCGTAATATACAGGGGTACAGGTACTCCTAGAATGAGATCCTAATAGGTTGGACTTGATGGACTAATGTCTTTATTCAACCTCAAATACTATGTAACTATGTATTTTGTGTTCTCTCTTTATATATGATCTATAATACAGTGTCTATAATCAATTACATTACCCCTTTATTCCCTACCCCTTTACCCTCCCACTATTAACTTGTATTCTCAGTGTGCATGAATGTGTACCCTATATCTAAATATTGTGTTAAACTACTCACACCCCCCTAACCTAATTAACGCTCCGAAAATTATATCCTCTCTCCAACCCCCCTACATCAACATACTAACCACCATCTACTCTATTCTACCATACTCTACAGGTCTAGTGCTATACAACTATTAAAAAATATATATATATATATATATTTCATAATAATAATATTTAATTACACCTCTCTGAGATTCATCCCAATAACGTTAAGCCCTATTATGTATTTATTTATAGATTCTATGGCTCTGCGGGAGCCTCACCTTTAATTCTCTTCCTTTCCGCTCTATCCTTTTTTACCAATCTCTCAAATTTCTGTGTCTGTATACTTCCCACTTCTCCCATATCTTGTCATATTTATCCATTCTACCCGCATCCCTGGCATTTAATTCCTCCATAAGTCTTATTTCTTCCATTATACTCCCCCAACTCTCCATTGAAGGTGTATCTGCAGATTTCCAACCACGTGAAATGTTAACTTTAGCTGCAGCCAATACAAATCTTAAAATGTCTGTCTTTATTTTTTTTATAGGGCCAGGG